CAAGGGGGCCCGCCTCACCCACCCACCCTGCCAACCAAGGGAGCCACCTCACCCACCCTGCCAACCAAGGGAGCCACCTCACCCACCCTGACAGCCAAGGGAGCCACCTCACCCACCCTGACAGCCAAGGGAGCCACCTCACGCACCCTGACAGCCAAGGGAGCCACCTCACCCACCCTGACAACCAAGGGAGCCACCTCACCCACCCTGACAGCCAAGGAAACCGCCTCACCCACCCACCCTGCCAGCCAAGGGGGCCTGCCTCACCCACCCACCCAACGAGGCCCACCCACCCAGCCGAGCTCTGTGTTAGCGGCCTGGCTGTGACTCCAGCCCTGGGCGGTGTTATGGCGGAGTTATGGCGGTTTGTATTGCGGTACCTGAGGATATTGTGCGCTTCCATGCTGCGGTTCTGGTTACTGGAACACACCACGGCCACTCTGAGCGGGGAGGACGGCATCCTGGGCAGAGTCACTCACAAAGCTCCGACTAACGACAGCCAAGGGCTCACACACTCCCTCGCTCTCTCTCACCAACGGCCACGGCGAGCTGATGGCGCCGCTTCCGCCTTCTCGAGTCCTCCACAGGAACTAAAATGGCGCCGGGCGAAGCTCTGCTGGGAAGTGACGGGACCTTTTTTCGCTGACGTCAACAGCGCCATCAGCTGATCGAGAACGTGCGCGGTGACGTCATGGCGCCGTAAAAGAGGCGTCCCCAATAGAGTATTTTTCTTTAGCAATAACTACAGAACTACAACTCCCGTGATGCTCTACCTACCCTTAAAGTTCGGCAAAGCATCACGGGAGTTGTAGTTTCCAGCTGCTAGGAAAAGCTAATAGTTTAGCCAGCCAGGTAGGGCCATTTCTGTTGAGGCTGCTTTGTTTACAGAAGGCTCCATGCCCAGCCTGGCCAATCCCACACCCATTACTAAACACCTTATCAACTTCCATAATGCTGACCCAGAGCACTTCAAATTTACAGCCATAAAAAGACAGATTTTGAATCCACGTAAAGGTAACTTTAATCTAAAGTGTAACATATTCCTCCTCACCTTGCGGTATTTGCGCCCAGCGGCCGTGCGTCTAGCGTCTGTATAACTGACTCTTGCAACATGTTGATGGACGCCGGCCGCTGCGGATCCACGCCAAACTGCACCCCCACGTAAGCTTGCGTTATTGACAACGTCGGCGTGCGCGCACGTTTTGTGGTCAAAGGCCATTTTCAGCCAATCAGAACTGTAAATCACTTATTTAAAATGAAATTTACTTTTCCTCATTGCCCTGTCGTGGTTTCCCTAGTGCTTATCCGAGAGTGTCTTCCTGAGCGTTTATTTCTGGTGTTTGACTTCCCTGTATTCTCGTATCCCTCACTTCTGCCTTTCCCTTATCGTTGTGTCTCCTTCTGTGCCCCCTGACCTCAGCTAGTATCCTGACTATTCTTTACGTTAGGTCCGGCCATTCTAAGACCCGGTAAGACATTACCTTTTAGTCCTAGGTGTGATACAATTCTACATGCGGGATCAAATAGTAATCCTGACATAAAGTTACTCCAGAAAGAGTCCAGATTTATTTCCAAATTTAAAGCAATGGCACTCAACGGGTTAAATGAAGAATTCAACTTTACTCCATATATTTATCGTTAATTTCGCCTATTCACGGCTATTTTCAACTTTCCTTGGTTATGTTTGTCTTCCGTACATTTATAATCACACAATGATAATATATTATTTTGAATTTATGGAATCAGTATCCATTATGAATGATTCACTTTTAATGTTTACTTTCAATAAAAAGACATCTCTATTATCATTACACTTCTTACACATATACAACTTCACGTGTACTATGTCCCAATTATATAATCAACCCCCCCTCCCCCTCTTCAACACATCACATACTTTGCTGCCGCATCTATTGCAATATTAGCATGTACTATCTATATATTCACATGTTTGTATTTGACTTTGTAATTCCCAGCTTGCTTTGTCAAGCCCCAACATATTTTCTGACATTTTGCTATACTTCCCCCTCTCTAAACAGATATCACATAACTCATTATATCACCATTTAAAATCAAATTCGTATTGATTTGTGATATTTAACTTACTATCACACCAATTTGACCTTCAGTAGTCCTATTGGATGGGTCACTTGTCAATCACTACCTTTACAGCTGTGATTGGACATCCATTCTCCAATAACATGTGGCAACCAGCTATTGTAAACCTCTTTTTTCAGAGGCTCACTTCCCCTGAAGAGCCGCCTAACTGGCGAAACGCGCGTCGGGGCTCCTTTCCTTACCCGTGGTGAGTCTGCCGAGAAGATTCTGACTAAGATGTTCTACTCCTTTAGACCATATATTTGCTATCAGACCAGACCGGCCGCACACATTCTCTTACTGTCCCCGGGCAATCTGACATTCATCTAGGACAGGGATAAGCAACCTTCGGCACTCCAGATGTTGTGGACTACATCCCCCTAATGCTCATACACCCATAATTTTGGCAAAGCATCATGGGATGTGTAGTCCAAAACATCTGGAGATGTCCTTTTCCCCTAGTGTGGGCAGACACACACACCATGACACAGACACACACACACACAATGACACAGACACACACATACATACACTCACACTGACAGAATTACACATATTACCTGTGGGTGACTGGCTGGGTGTGCTGGCGGCCGCTGGGGGAGGTCTGCTGGCGGCCACTGGGGGAAGTCTGCTGGCGGCCGCTGGGGGGAGCTGTTCTGTCACTGCTCCCCCGCTCTCGCGCGCAGCTTAATGAGACCGGGGCCGGAATATGACGTCATATTCCGGCCCCAGTCTCATTAAGCTGCACGCTGGGGAGCAGCGACAGAACAGCTCCCCCCAGTGGCCACCAGCAGACCTCCCCCAGTGGCCGCCAGCAGACCTCCCCCAGCGGCTGCCAGCAGACCCAGGTGTCTGCCCGGCCCCAGGTTCCGACGGCCCACCAGGAAATTTCCCGGTATCCTGGTGGGCCAGTTCGGCCTTGGTCAAGTACTGTATTAACTCAATTATCTCCAGGCGAAAAAGAACACAATTTTACAAGCAACCCGAAAGTACCCCAAAAACTCACATATACCCCCTGATAGCCCCGATCTGGGTGAGCAAGATATCCAAAAATGACCAACCGCACACGAGGCTCCTGCCCAAAATAGTTCCATAAATTCAGGTTGTGCGGTCGGTCTCTTTCGGGAGCTTCAACAACCAAAAATACCAAAAGTAGCAGTTCGTGTGCCCCTCGTTTTGGGAGTTTGGTTTCACCTAACCCCGCTTTCTTCAGATGAATAGGAACGAACATAGGTTAGAGTGGAAGTCTCAGCGGTGTTCGGGCCGTCGAGTGTCCGATCATAGTTCCATACACTCGACGACCAGACACCGCTGGAAGCGTTTGCCAAAACAAGATGGCCGCCGCCTCGTGTTTGTCCATACCCAGCCGACCACTTAGAATGTTCAAGTGTTTGCGGTTTGTGTAGGTGTAAGTGAGGTCAAGTTGGTCAACTAGTGGCACACAACTGTTCTGGGTGGTCCATGTGTTCGGTACTTTGTTTGGTATACAAACCAAATGGGCAATCTGTTCGGTTAGGTTTGTATTCCGACCTAGTCAAAGCAAAATTATCATCCAAGAACAGGGGGATCTGTTATATACTCTTTTAACCTAGTATATTAAAAGTTAAGTTTAAATTTTTTCCCAGGAAAGATTCACCTAATCCACAATAAAGTGGACGAGGTAAAAACTGGAAAAATGTAACCAGTATCCTGAGGTAAATTGGATCACAGTCCACTCTGCATGTACCAATACATACACACTACTTATATCCCCAGTACAAGTGAACTACACTAGCCGTGTAAGGCTATTCCTCTACCTAGTATAGATAATGGATAACCATTGGACTATCCACACAGGTTCTTAAAATATTAATATACACGCTTTATTAATTAGGCTTATTTGTAGCACTTTTGATAACCCTTTGTGGGTAAGAAGCGCACTGGAAAATAAACCAATGTACCAAGGCAGACAAGGGGTTAAACCATAGTATTAGTGTAAAAAAAACAGGAATTAACTAGAGGTTAAACCATAGTTCTGTCTAAATAAAGCAGGAAATTAATAGTGCCTTTGTTAGCCCTTGGTAGGTAAGTAGTGCACTGGAAAAGTATACCAGTGTACCCAGGTAGACAAGGTGTTAAACCAGGGGTCCTCAAACTATGGCCTACCGGCCAGATCCGGCCCATTAGGGTCCTGAACCCAGCCCAAGCATTTATCTTCAGGGGCCTGGTCAGCGCTGCGGCCGTGTAAAAGCGCGACCGAGCCCCTTTAAAAAATTGCAGGCGCAAAGTAGTGCTGGGAGGAAGTGACGGCCGGTGGTCACTTCCTCCCAGCTCTCTCCGCGTGGGAGGGAAGAAAGACAGGCCGAGAGGACGGGAGAGCCACGCCGACTCCCATCAGCCACAGCCACTCTCTTGCAAAAAAAGTAAGAAAAATTAGCTGTGTGTATGTATGTATGTATGTATGTATGCATGTATTTCAGTATGTATGTCTGTGTGTATCTGTATGTATGTATGCCTGTGTCTATCTGTATGAATGTATGTCAGTATGTGTGTATGTATGTTTGTCCGTGTGCATGTATTTCAGTATGTATGTGTGTATGTATGTCTGTGTCTATCTGTGTGTATGTATGTCTGTCTTTATGTATGTATTTCAGTATGTATGTATGTCAGTATGTGTTTGTATGTATGTCTGTCTGTGTGCATGTATTTCAGTATGGAAGTATATATGTGTGTGTGTTTGTATGTATGTCTCTGTGTATGTATGTCAGTATGTATATATGTATGTCTGTGTGTGTGTATGTCAGTATGTGTCTGTATGTATGTATGTCAGTGTGTGTGTATGTATTTCAGTATGTCTGTGTGTGTGTGTTTGTATGAATGTATGTATGCATGTATGTCTGTGTGTATGTATTTCAGTATGTATGTATGTGTGTATATGTATATATGTATGTCAGTATCTGTTTGTGTGTATGTATGTCAGTATGTGTCTATCTGTGTGTTTGTATGTATGTATTTCAGTATGTGTGTGTGTGTGTGTATGTATGTCAGTATGCGTTTTTGTATGTGTATGTATTTGAGTATGTATGTATTTCAGTATGTATGTCTGTGTGTGTTTGTGTTTGTATGTATGTGTATGTCTGTCTGTGTGTATGTGTGTGTCAGTATGTATATGTGTCAGTATGTATATGTCTGTATGTATTTCTATATGTGTGTGTATGTATGTCCTTTTGCGTGTTTGTGTCTGTATGTATGTTAGTATGTGACTGTGTGTCTGTATATGTCTATGTGTCTGTTTCACTACATATAGGAATTAGTTCAAATTTTTTTCAAACTATAGTCCATCCCCCAACAGTGTCTGAGGAACGGTGAACTGGCCCCCTGTTTAAACAGTTTGAGAACCCCTGGGTTAAACCATGGTCTAAGTGTTAAATTACAGAGATTAACTAAAGGTTAGGCCATAGTACTATCCAAGTGAACCATGAATAAACATAGATTAGATAATAGAGTACTATAGCATATTCAGCTGCAACCTAAAATATCCCCCTAAAGAAAGTGATATAGGAAATAGGTCGAGCATAAGACAGTAAAGTGTATTAAAGCCTCTCTCCCTGTTAAACTGACTGGATAGGTAGAGGAGTAAAAGAATAAAGAAGTGAAAAATAAAATTAAAAAAATTATTGAGAGTGACAGATATGCGATTTGAAGGAAAAGAGGCACATTTGGGAATGGTAGTGGCAGCAGTTGTTTCAGGGAGCCTTTGCTGGATGTGGGGAATAACCCCAGAATGTGAAAATTACAAATATATTTAAATAAAGATTTAATGTGGTACTGTTAACTACCCCTCCCCCCACCAACCAACTGAAAAATGAGTGTTTCATTTAATTAAGCAAGATTATTTATGAAATATAAATTTTTACTATGTAGGAATTTCACTGAAATTTCAACCTAGTCAAGAGTTAGATACTGAGACAAAGTAGGGACTATGTTGTCTTTGTATTTCTCCTCCACCTGACATTCTTAGACTCAGGGTGGAGTCTTAAGTGTCAATCAGGACAGCCATCACCAGGGACGGCTGCAAGGAATTAGCTGGGTCTATGGAGACCGCGGGATCCTCCATAGATCTCAATGCTTTATAAATGCATGCGCAAGTGTACAGCAGTGATGGCTCCGAAGAGGACCAGGTGGATCAAGACGGGTACAGGTAAGTAAAGCTCACCTGCCATCTGATCACCAGATCCCCAGCGGCGATGTCACCATCGGGGGTCTTTGCAAATTCGCCTCTAAAATAAAACTTTAGACCCCATAACAACTGCATCTCAATGAAGTCGTTATTGGAGCTAGAGTTTCCTAGCACCGTTTTACCTTGTGGGTTTAAACCGTTTTTATAGCAGTTTAACCTCAGGAAGGTTTCTTCACTAAAGTAAGAATTCAATATGAATTTAACATTTAAGGTCACAATAGCTAAAGTGGAATAATTCTCTGAAGTCAGTTATGCTTTATTAGGTTTCTTTGGCCTTAAACTTGAAATTCTCTTTGAATTCTCGCTTTACTAAATAACCCTATAATTTGTACTCCTGGCATACGTATGTTTCTAAAGGAAAGCTCTGAAAGGGCTGCCGATTTAGGTTTAGTTGCAAAAAAGCACACATTGTCCAAAAAATGAACAAAAAGTGATTTTGCACATTCTTAGTATTTAGAGTTCGTTCTTACAGTGTTATGGAGTTAGCATCAAAAATGACACCATGGTTTTATTAGTAAACAATATGACTAGCTCATTGTCTTGAAGCATGCACTCTATGGTGTTTTATTGACCTCACATCGCAAACAAAATGCAAATTTTCTACATGTCAGTGCTGCAGGAGAATGCCCTGATCATTTCCCAGAATGCCATTTTTTTGCCGTATTGTGCCACGGCTTACAAATGAATCAGTAGTCACTGTGTCTATCAAGTGTTCTCTTAGCCCTAAAATCCCGGGTAATGCCCCAAGCAGCAACAGTAGTACTGTACTGCAGTGAACAAAACTCACTTTTAATGCAAATGTGATGGCCAAACACCTCCACAAATTTGGGGCTGAAATGATGATAGCTTGGCAACAGCAACCAAATCACATATACACAGACTCAGAATAATGCTTTAGATGAGTGGTGTCCAAAAGGTAGATCCCCAGTAGTTGTAAAACTACAAATCCCATGATGCTTTGCGTGACTTTAGAATGACAAAGCATAATTGAAGCTTTAGTTCTACAACATCTGGGGATCTACTTTTTTGGCACCCCCAGGTCAACATCTACATCTATCTGTTAGTCAGTGATCCCTGTTAATGCATCTTTTCACTGTATAAATAACATTACTGGAGGTCACACGAATAAATTATGTTACATGTTGCAACCTTGGCATGTTACTAATGTAAAATATGTGTGATTGATATGATCAGGGAATTGAGAATTTTTATTTCATTTTTTTTTTCCTTGTTCATTCTACAAGTTTGTTATTTTATTGTATCATCCTTGTTTGTTGTCATCTATTTGGAGTTTGCTCACCCAAGCATTAGTTATGTTGATGTGAAAATGGGAGAATATTGGAGTAAATTGGGAAGCATGTCTCTTCTTTTGTCTAATACATCATTAATGCATTGTCATGTATATCATATTTAACAAAACATTTTAGTTGTTTTAGATTTGTTGACCAATTTATTTGTTTTAACTATTAATATAATACAATTATTACTCATCATATTAATAAATATCATAATATATTAAATCGAAACAGCACCCAGAAAAGCCTCTGAATAAAAATATATGATGACTGCAAATTCAAATACTGACACTAGATGGCAGTAACTTTTTGCAGTAGCGTCAGAAAAAAATGAAGTTAGATGCAATCAGTAAAAACCAAATTAGTAGCTCTTTGAATATACTATATGTATGTGTATGTATTTGATGCAAGTTTGTAAAAAAAAATATGCATTGCTGACTACGCTGATAAAGATTACTGTACAGTTTTGGTTGTAGTGGTTTGATTATTTATGTTCAAATTAGAGTATCTATGTTCCAATAAACTGGAAATGCTAAAATCAAGCTCTAGTTCCATATGTTAAGATGGTGGTTACTATCATAGATCTTCTAAACCCTAGTTTTGTTGGATTTTCTGGTGACAGTAATGTACTTGAATTATTCTAGTCCTGTCTGATGTTTGCAGTTATCAATTTCGAAAGTCTGTTGTAGATTGGTAAACTATATACAACTGAATGGCTTAGACAGGGTGACAGGGTACAAATAGGGTTTAATCACTTCATAATGAATTATAGAGATTTTTTTTTATTATAAAAAAAAAATACATAAATCTTGGCATTAACCTGCCTCCCCCCAACACACAATCCCTTCTAACACACACATCACACACACACGTCACCCTCACATAGCACTCTAACACACACAGCACCCTAACACACAGCTCCCTAACACACACGCACACACAAGCAGCACCCTAACACACTCACACAGCACCCTAACACAGACATCACCCTAACACACACAGCACCCTAACACACACACACATCACCCTTGCACAGCACCCTAACATACACAGCAACGTCACACACACAGCATTCTAACACAGCGCACACACACACTGCACACCTCACACACACAGCACCCTCACACATTCAAACAGAAGCTCCCAAACACGCTGCACTACCCACACACACACACACACAATACTTCCAAACATATATATATATATATATATATACTACAGAACCCCTCACACACATACTGCACCCCTAAACACATTATATTCCAGACAAACAATAGATCCCTTACCCAACTTTGGATCATCTACAGATATACACACACTAGATCTCTATATACATTCTGAATCCTCTACACACACACACACACTCACTAGATCTCCTATACACACTCTGGGTCCTTAAAACACACACAAGCTGCGCCACCTACACACACACTACATTTCTAACATACACACTCTGGATCCCCTATGCACACACTAGATTCCTTGTAAGCAAACACATAGTGTCTCCATAAATGGGATACAGTGAGTGTCCCATTTATGGAAAGCCCTGAGACAAGTTTCAAGCAAACACAGCGCAAGCATGTTATTAAATTTGCTTGGGCTGTGTAGAACAAATACAGGGCCCTTTCTCATGCTAGAGATCTTCAGCAGAGCTCTGCGCATGGTCTGCCCTGGAAGTTCATTGAACCAACATGCTCACTTTAACACTTTGCTTGTCATTGGGCCGATGTGGATAAAATATGCCCGTGCCCCTTTTTGGCTTTAACAGCCGGCTTTTCTATTATTTTGTTCTTCTTATTTTTGTTTATGTATTTCTTTATCCTATCACTCTATACATGACATAGTTGTATATCCAAACTTGACTATGACAGTACAGCATCAAAAAAGATCACCCACTCAGACATAGTGAGAGAGGGGATATGCATTACGGGGACGAATGAACCGTACGATGTACCCATGAGTTTTTCAGTTCAGAAGAGTATGTAGACCACACGGATGTTAGTATGCTGGTACACTCTTGGTTCTACCATTCACTCTTATTTAACACATTGTCCTTATGGTTTAGAATGCGGTCTCAATATAGAAATGATACTCCTAAATTATGTACAAGAATCACCATGTGGATTGTTAGCTTATACATTGAATAAATAAAAACAATGCATTGTATTTTTGATGAACGCCCTCTGCGAAGTGCCAAACATGCCTCCCTCATGCTTCTATGCTTCTGTGTGGATGTACTAAATGGATGTTTTCCAATACTGACTTTATTTAAAAATCTATATGAAATATGAAATCTCTCAGTCAATCTTACTGGTCCTTTCATAGATTTCAGAGAGAGGCTTATATCTCACACAAGCTTCTAGGATTTTATGGAATTTGAATGTTGATATAATGAAACCAATACTGTAACAGCTATTAAGGAAGTTCATTCACTTGCAACAGTAGTTTTCATTTTTTTTTTTCTTGCCAAGGTAACTTTTTTTGTGTGAATGATTCTCCTTGCCCTAAATGGCAGAGCTCGGCTTTATAAGACGTGCCTAGAAGTAATGTATATTTCTGTAAATCTAGAATCTGGTCCTTTTGCCCAAATCTCTGCGGTGCACAACTCTATTCTGTATATCTGAAGATAAACAGAGAATAGTATGAGCAACAGCAGTGTATTCATATTGGTAAAATATAATTGAAGGAAGCATTAACTTTTTTTTTGTATCGTAAC